CTTTAGGGCAAAATTTTGTTTCATTGTTGAAGTTTGAAACATTGTTAGTCAATTTTTACGGTTTCTGTTTGTCCAGCATTATTAATCAAACTTAAAATTTTAGCATCATATGTGACATCAATGCCTATTGCCTTTCGGTCAACATGAATAATTTAGGTTGTGTTTGATACAGTGTTATCAGAACATGACTGGACCAGTCAGTCTGACCGATTCAACTGTGAACCAGGATTTTAGTCAGTCCGATTGACTAATTAAACCACATAAGGAAGGGAACCAGATAAACACAGTCAAACCGGCCGATTTTTGGAGAAAATCGGAACCGGACGATTTTTTAAAACCAGCCGGTTTAAAGTCCATTAATCTACTTTTTTCTTATTTGGGTTTGGGCATTTTGATTTTTCCCTAAATAGGCTAAATGACAGAAGGGAAAAGGTAGAGAAGGAGAAGAGAGGGAGGCCGTTCAGACTCAGGCGACACATAAAGGAATCAGTGCTCTTCCTCTCACCAGCTAAAGGGAGACAGCGATCAGTGCTCACTGCTCAGGCGTCACTTAAGCGACCATCGATCGAGGCTGTTAAGACTTTTGTTTCAGGTGGCAGTCACTGCTCAGGCGGCACTCAAGCTGTTCAGACTCAGTCGGCACTCAGACTTATGCTCGATGCAACAGTGCTCTTCTGATTAATTTTTTTTTTTTAAAAAAAAAAAAGCTCTTCTTATCAGTGATGCAGCGACCTTCTGTGTATTATTTGTTGTATTATAGTTTTCAATTATTTGGTGGATGACGTTCTGATGTTGGATGACCTTCTGTTAGATGATGTTGTTTGTTTAATTATTTAGTGTTTATTTTGCACATTGCTATTTGATTTTGATGACTGTCTTTTGTTTGATTTTGATATTTGTCACATATGTATCTTCTTTTACTTACTTCGTAAATTTTATGGTAAATTGTATGTATTTTAAATATATATTTTTATATTTTTTAGCTAAATTATTATGTTTTATAATTATTATATATAATTTTTTATTTTTTTATTATATGACCGTCCAACCAGTTGAATCAGTGAACTATTGACTCGGTCCCCTTACCGGTTCGATGACCGGTCCGGTTCTGATAACATTGGTTTGATAACGTTTTTATTTTTGTGTTTTTAAAAAAAAAAAAAAAAATAATTTTTATTTCTCCTGTGATAAAAAATAAAAATATAAAACATGTTTGATACTCATTTATGTTTAATCTATATCTATCTATCTATACTACTATAAAATATCAACAAAAATGAAAAATTTTGATTGACTATAATACTTTTCATAAAACATCATATTTCCTTAACAATTTTCTTTCATCTTCTCCAATTAATTACATACTATTCTCCTATTCTTTCATCTCCTTAAATTAATTATGTGCATAAACTTAATATTTTCATGTATTCATTTCAAATTTAATTATTGATTTAAACTCTAATGATGTTCATACCATTACGAGTAATAACAAAATATTACTATCACCTTTTCTCTTACCTTTCTGTTTCTCCATATAATTGACTCAACAACTTTTATTCTTTTAATTTTAACCATATGAATATATTTGAGGTTTTAATATTTATAGGCCAAAAGTTGTGTTACTACAAGAAATCTTGAAAATTAAATTTTGACTTGCCGTTTGGGTTTTATGGTCATGGAAAAAACCAAGAGTATATGGTAACTACAAAAAATCTTTGAAAACTTTCTGTCTTTTTTACTAGGTTTCAAGGATTGTTGTAAAAAAATTTCTTACTTGATGTATTTGTTTAACATGAAAGTGCCCCCTCTATATCTGAGATCGATTCTTAGGCAATCACCTTTGCCACTATTTATATGTGTGGGGGCCACTATTTATATGTGTGGGGCTTGCAATTCTCCCAAAAAATAAAAAGGGCTTATGGGTTTGCCTTTGTATGTTGATAGTCTTCATCATAAATTTTTGTGCTCAAGCAAAATGTTGTAAGAACTTCTTTAGTTTTTTTGGCTATTTGATTGAATGTTAGTTGGACAATTACTTTTAACTTCAACTCAACCTTATTTTTTTTCCTCTCTTTTGTATCTTGGAAAAAATATTTCAAGAAGAAGCTGCAAAAACATTGAACAACAAGTAGAAGTAAGATTATGTGATCTTCTTTTCAAGTGAGCAAGTCTTGTATTTGACATAACCGCGTGTTCGATAGTCTATCTCTTCATTGGATGTATATTTACAATGTCAAATATAATTAGATTTTACAAAAGAATGATCAATAGACACTATTTTATTGAGTGTAATCCCACTATTTTCATTTAATGTTGGTCAAATTAAGGTGTTAGAATTACAATAATTTATCTTATAGTTTCAGTGGATTTTTGTGTCATGAATTTTACATTAAACACTGAAAAAATTGATAGTTATTGGTTTGTGTACCGTTAAAAAAATATTATTTATTTTAAGTTAAGCAAATAGAGATTAAAACTTTTCCAACTTGAGTCCCCCCCCCCCAAAAAAAAAAAAAATTTAAAATCTCTATTTTTTTGGGTAAATAAAATCACAATCTTATTGAACTTACTTTGGCTATTTGTATTGTCAGGGATACTGTATCTAATATTGGTGCTAAACAAAATATTCTAATGAAATTGTCCACGTGCAAAACACGTGTACACCAACTAATTATTATATAAATCTTTAAATGTCTTGATTCTTCATATTCATTCTTAAATAACAATTGTATATATTTATTGGCATAAAAAGTGAGTGCACCGATTAGTTTGAGCTAAAGTTGTGTATATTTATTGCATAAAAAGTGGGTGCACCAGTAGCAATGAAAAATGAAAAGTTTTCTTTTGGTACATTTATTCAAGTTTAATACACTACGGACTATATATTCAATGTGCATTGAATATATCATATGCTAAAATTTTAAAATGGACATTTCATCTTTCCATATTCAAGCTATACACAAAACCATATACATTTAAACGCTATAGATACCTATATTAAGTATTCAAGCTGCAAATATTAGTTGGAACTTCAATCGTTTCATATTTTCACCTCTTTGTCTGATTGATTCTCTTTTAAAAATCTTTTTGGTCTAATATTTAGTACAATCATGTGTGGCAACAGTGGTGGTGGTGATGTGTGGGTGGTGGTGGACGACAGTGATGGTGGTTGGTAGTGGTGGTGGTGGAACGACGACTGAGGTGTTTGGCGATGATGGGTGCTTCTAGGCAACAGTGTGATGGGTGGTGGCGAATGGTGGCACTAGTAAGCATGGTGGAGGTAGGTGATAGTGGGTGGCTGTAGTGGTGGACAATGACAGGTTGTGGTGGTAGGTGTGGTGGGATAGGTGACAGTGGTTGGTGGCTGGTTGCGATGGATTGTGGTGGGTGCTGACAGTGGGTGATGGTGATAGTGAGATGATGGTGGTAATGATAATAAATATAAGAATAAGATGACGATAGTAGTGGGTGATGATCATGGACGACGATGATAGTAATCGATAGTGGGTGACGATGGTGGTGGTGGAGCAGTGAGGGTGGGTTGGGGTGGGGGTAGAGGTGGGGGCAGTGGTGATGGTGGTGATAGTTGTGATGGTCATGGGTGTGGTGGTGGGATGGTGGGGGTGGTAGAGGTAATGGTGGAACAGTAGTGGTGGTAGTAAAATGCAACAACGGTGATGATGATGGTAGGGTGCGTCAACGGTGATGGTGGGGCGGTGGAAATGATGGTGGTGGTGGTGATGGTGATGATGGTGGTGGGGGGACAATGCAAGTGGTGGTATAGTGGTGGCAGCGGCGGTGGTGATGGGGTGGTGGGTATGGTAGGGTGGCGATAGTGGGGGGGATGGGGGTGGTGCTGGTAGTGGCAGTGGTGGTGGTGATAGAGGTAGTAATGAGCGATTTCAAACACTATTTTTTTAAAGTACTTATGAGAAATAATTCATATAAGTACTTTTAAAAAATCACTTCAAACACACTCTTAGGGACCTATTTTTAATATTAAATTTGGTGTATTAATATTAGCCATTATATTAACTTTAAAGTAAAATTTAAAAAAATATCAACCACGAATAACAAAAGTTATTTTGTTTGTCTTTTGAGATTTGAATTTTAATGTACTTTATTATATAAATGTTTGCAATTTCATTATCAATTTAGACGACGAAGTAATAATAAGGGTAAAACGCAACAAAATTTCTGAATAAGGAGACAACGTGAATAAAATTTAAACCTAGATTATAAACAGTGAGATTTTTAAAAAATTAGAGGTAGCAAATAGAATTGATTCCAGCTGATCACGAATGAGTTTCTATCAGATTTGATCCCAAATAACTTTTTTATTTGTTAATAAGTTTGTAGATTATAAGATATTTATTTTGTAGATTAAAGCTAATAGACCCAAGAAATTTCTTCCATTAATCGTATCAAAGTTCCAAAGCACATTTGTACCAAGTCACTTGATTACTGATAATGTTCTTGTTGTTTATGATCTCAATCAGTTTATCAAGTTGAAAAAGAAAGGCAATAAGGGATTCATGTCCCTTAAATTAGAAATGAAAAAAGCGTACAATCGTGTGGAATGAAATTTTTTGAGTTGAGTTCGATTTCAGGAGATTGGAAAGAAAAACTTATTAGGGATATAAGCCTACCAGGTAAAATCAAGATTTTTGCATGGCGCCTCTACCTTGATATTGTACGTACCTATCTTCTCCAAAGTCGAGGATCCCAGCAGAAAATTATTGTTTTCTTAGTGGCGGACTTAATGAATCCTTATTACATCTCCTTATTCACTGCCCATTTTCTAAACAAATGTGGGAGGATGCAGGGATTAATGTTCTCACCAGTTCATGAGTGGCTGAACTTTTTGGGTTCTGTTCAGATCAACTGCAACCGTTGTTTGTCTTAGTTTGGTCCCTATGGTATTATTAAAAAAAAAAAAAGCACGACTTAAGTAGGAGGATAACTACCCAAACCAGATTGTAGATTTCTCTATTTCTTTCATGGAACATTTTGTAGCAGCTCAGGTAAATAGGCAGCATGATTCTCAGCAGGGTATTGTTGCTGAGACTAATCAATGGACAGCCCCCAGTCCTTGCTTTCTTAAAATCAACATAGATGGAGCAATTTCTGAGGCGAAAGAATCTGCTGGTGCAGGAGTAGTTGTTCGAGATTGGAATGGTCGATTTGTGGCGGGTCATAGCCGAAGAATTCCAGGTGGGATTCAAATCCCCTCCATTACCCCCTTCCCTTTAATTCCCTTTAATACAATGTTAAATAAATGACACGTGTAAAATTTTGAATTTCAATAGATAAGATTTTTTCTTTTGAGAAAATTCCTTAATAATGGATAACACTCCATCAATAACAAAAATGAATGAGAAAACATCTTATCCATTGAAATTTAAAATTTTACTCATGTCATTCATCTAACACTGTATTGAGGGAAATTGAAGAGAAGGGATAATGGAGGGGATCTAAATCCTTCGAGGTGTTACTAATGCTTTACTTTCTAAATCTTGGGCGCCTTTCATGGGCAGTAAATTTGCCACTGATCTGGGTTGCCAAAATAATATGATATTAAAAGGTGATTCAAAAGGAATTATTGTGGTGATTAAATCGAGTCATACGAACCTCTCAAATAGGGCATTTTGTTGACCAAATTAGGTACAAATAGTGTTACTCAAATCAATTTAATGCCTCGTACGAAGATCTGGGAATAGTGTGACTCATACATTAGCCAAATTTGCTACTTCTTGTTCTCAATGTATTGAATGGAGAGATGAACCACTAGATTTCTTGATTTTATATCCCCAAAGATGATATTTCTGTTTCTTAATCGATCAAAGAATTGTAAATTAATCATAAGGCACTCAAACTATGACCATATGTCAATTAAATTCTTAAACTTTTTTTGGGTCAATTGAGTCCTTAAACTCTCTAATTGTGTCAATTGAACCCTTCTATTTGATTTCTTTGGAGTATGTCACTCACGTGACCATGTGATACAAAAAGACAGAAGAGCTCAATTAACACAATTAGAGAGTTCAGAGATTTAATTAACATAAAAATAATTCAAATACTCAATTGACAAAGGGTTATAGTATGAAGGTCATATGTGTAATTCACCCCAACTCATTTGTGTGATGTGAATGACACATTTACCACTTTTTGTTAAAAAATTTAGCGGAAATAGATATAAAAGTTCAATTGATACAATTAAAAAGTTTAAAGACTCTATTAACACAAAAAAAAAAAAATTTAGGAGCTTAATTGACAAAAAAATTATAATTTAAAAATCATATATATAGTTTACTCGTGAAAGAATCTTCGTTTCTTTGAAAAAAAAAAGATATTTGTTTATTGAGTCGGATTTAATAATACAACCAATTTGAAAATGTGCTCGGACTTTGACTCCACTCCTCGTGAACGAAGCTCATTTTTCTGGCAGTCCTAATCATTTAGTTTTAAAATGAATAAAAATAATAATGAAGAGTCATATCAGTTGGCTCAGAGCTTAACGAATCCAGAGTCCGGCCATTCGGCAGGAGGAGACACTTGCCAATGAACCGTGTCTTGTCGTTTTCTAATTACTGTCATACCATCATTCATTAAAATATTATTTAATTGAAATTGTGTATAATAAATTTTATATTGTATTATGCTCATATAATTTATATATCGTGCTGAACAAAATTATATATCGACTCATTGATGAAATAGATTTGGTAAGTTCACCTATTTCTTATCTGAATCTACAAATGTTATACTCAAACCTCTAATTTTTTTATAAATTTTATATTATATCGCATGATTTGGTGGATTTTTTTCCGGCTAATGTGAATTGGCAGAGTTAAATCTCTTTCTTTACTAGAGAAATTGAGTTATGTTTTTAAAATGAAACGATGAGATAATATTATTGATAATGCACAAAATTAGTTTGTACATCACCTGTCAATTAAGTAAAATAATATGCAGTAAAGTAGAGGGAGAGGGAAGACAAGATTTATAGTGGTTCGGTCAATATGACCTACGTCCACTTTGAATGACAAGAATCGTCGAAATTTTATTATTTCCGGTGTGGAGGAAGAGTACAAGATTATAAGCTTTGAGAGGGGAGGAGAGAATTATGCTCAAATAAGTCTGCTGCCCCCCCCCCCCCCCCAAAGTGTTGGTGGGACGTACAATTTATAGTGAGTTAGTGTAGTAATTGAATAGCTAGTCTAGTGGTCATAATGAGTTGAGGCCGTTTAATAGTCATAATGGATTGGGGTGACTTTAACGACAATTAAATAGCTTGGCGACCTCTCATCTCCTTAAACGACGAGAAAGTTATAGTGTTTTTTCAAAGGACTTGATCAAAAGATGTGGGAAGATTGACTCTCTCCAGGCAGTGAGAGAGAGGCTCTTGGATGCTCCCTTGGCGGCGTAGAGGAGGCTCTTGGATGACACTTACTCCAAGGTGGTAGAAAAGACTCTTAGATGACCCTTACTCCAAGGTGGTAAAGGAGGTTATTGGATGACCCTTCCTCCAAGGTGGTAGAGGAGACTCTTTGATGACCTTGCATACTCTCTGGTGATGTTGCTCCTTGATTCTTGATGAACTTGTCCGGATTAACTGCATTGAGCTGGACTTGCTGGATCTCTTGGAGATAGGCTATAAACTTGGACTGAGCTTATAATTTGAGCTAGGCCCTTGGACTTGACCCATCAATTAGTAATTAAAAAGAAAACATCATTTTGGAGGGGAGTTAACCAGAAAGTACGATGTTTCTTTATCCACATACTAAAATCTGAAATCAATATAATGTCTCGTGTGTGTGAAGATCTGAGAATATTGTGGCTCATAAATTAGTCAAATTTGCTATTTCATGTTCTCAATGCATTGTACGGAGAAATGAAGGATCAGATTTCTTGGTTCATATTCTCAAAGGTGATATTTCTGTTTCTTAATCAATCAAAGAAGAGTAAATTAAACATATAACCCTCAAAAACTATGATCATGTGTCCATTAAACCCTTAAACTTTTTTTTGTCTCAATTGAGTATCTGAACTCTTTAATTGTTTCAATAAACACAATTAGAGAGTTCAGAGACTTAATTAACAAAAAAAAAATTAGGGGCTCAATTGACACATGAATCATAATTTTGAGTTCCATATGTGTAGTTTATTCTAACTCATTTGTGTCATGTGAATGACACACTTTGCTACTTTCCATTATAAAATCTAACGGAGGTAGACATAAGAGCTCAATTGAAACAATTGGAGAGTTAAAGTGATCAATTGACATGAAAAAAAGTTCAACAGTTTAATTGACAAAAAGATCATAATTTGAAGACCATATACATAATTTACTCATGAAACAATCTTTGTTTGTTTTAAAAAATAAGATATTTATTTATTGAGTTGAATTTAATAAGGAATGGCCATGAAAGCTGGACCAAAACAAATACAAACAACTCAGCATATACAACATGATCAACGAAGAACCAAAGAAATCTTCCTCCTCAAAACAGGAATCCCCCTTTGATCCTGTAGCAGTATCAACTTCCCTGCAGTGGGCAAAGGATACAGAATCAGAAAAAATCACAAGAAAAACCCCTATGCATAGCATAATTGGCCAGAAAATCTGCTACACAGCCTGCCTCTCTGAACACATGACATAGAGTCATATCAGCTGGCGCAGAGCTTGACGAATCAAGAATCTGCCTAAATAGCCGTATGGCATAGGCAAACATTTGCCAATGAACCGTGTCGATTATACAACAACCAAATGCATAGTGTAAGGGGTAGAAATCGCTACGGATCTCATCCCTCCACTTGAAGGATTCCGGCTGATCTGGCGGCACCGAGCCCCAGTAGCCTTTACCTCTTTTCGTCAATAGGACTATTTCCTAAGACAATCCCACATCGGAAGAGAGTCGTCTTCTCCTCTTCCATATAAGTGAACACTTCCTATGGAGAAGGTACCCACTAGCGACCTGATCAGGTGCCTAGTGGGTACCTCCTTCATAGGAAGTGTTCAGTTATATGGCAGGGGGGAAGACGACTCTCTTCCGATGTGCGATTGCCTTAGGAAAGGGTCCTATTGACGAAGAGAGGTAAAGACTACTGGGGCTCGGTGCCGCCAGGTCAGCCGAAATCTTTCAAGTGATAAGGGGTAGAAATCGCTACGGATCTCATCTCTCCACTTGAAGGATTCCGGCTGATCTGGCGGTACCGAGCCTCAGTAGCCTTTACCTCTCTTCGCCAATAGGACCCTTTCCTAAGGCAATCCCACATCGGAAGAGAGTCGTCTTCCCCCTGTCATATAAGTGAACACTTCCTATGGAGGAGGTATCCACTAGTGACCGCCTTTTTGTAAGGGGTAGAAATCGCTACGGATCTCATCCCTCCACTTGAAGGATTCCGGCTGACCTGGCGGCACCGAGCCCCAGTAGCCTTTACCTCTCTTAGCCAATATGACCTTTTTCTAAGGCAATCCCACATCGGAAGAGAGTCGTCTTCCCTTTGCCATATAAGTGAACACTTCCTATGGAGGAGGTACCCACTAGTGACTGCCTTTTTGTAAGGGGTAAAAATCGCTACGGATCTCATCCCTCTACTTGAAGGATTCCGGCTGACCTAGCGGCATCGAGCCCCAGTAGCCTTTACCTATCTTCGCCAATAGGACTCTTTTCTAAGGCAATCCCACATCGGAAGAGAGTCGTCTTCCCCCCTGCCATATAAGTGAACACTTCCTATGGAGGAGGTATCCACTAAGCACCTGATCAGGTCGCTAGTGGGTACCTCCTCCATAGGAAGTGTTCACTTATATGACAGGGGGAAAACGACTCTCTTCTGATGTGGGATTGCCTTATAAAAGGGTCCTATTGGAGAAGAGATGTAAAGGCTATTGGGGCTCGGTGCCGCCAAGTCAGCCGGAATCCTTCAAGTGGAGGGATGAGATCCGTAGAGATTTCTACCCCTTACACATAGATTGTCTAGACTATGAAATTGGATATATGTTATTGTCCTAGACGATGAAATTGGGTGTGGTGGTCTAAACAATGATATGTCATTTGCAATAAAATTTGGTAGATGTATTAACGTCGTAATCTTACAGTGAACATAACAGTTACATTTTCACTGTTGTTGTGAGACATTAAAATTGGGTACATTTTCACTGTCATGTACAATGAAATTTAGTGTGGAGGTTTAAATAGTGAAATGTCATG